CCACGTATCGGGCCTTTAACATAGGCAGTGATTTAGATGGCCGCTTCACCTTGAAGAGCCACATGCCGTCGACTACGTTCGCCCTGGGAGGGGGAACTACGTCGACGTAGGTCCCTGTGGATCTCCAAGACGCTAACTCTGAGTCCATAGCCCCTTTCCACTAACAGGCCCACTCCCTTGACTCTGCCTCACGCTACGTGCGAGGAGTCGGTTTCTCGAGGGCGTCGGAAATTCCCTCAGGGGAAAGCAGCATGGCACAGAGAGAGGGAGAAGCGGCTGCCAAGAAGTCCAGCTCAAATCGCCTGTCCTCTAGGACGCCAGACCCAAGGGCAAACTCACCCGCGGCGGACAGAGGACGGGCAAGCGGAGCAGCCACTACACGCATGGCGAATTCAAGGCAGCGGGTGGAAGAAAAGTCAGCGACATCGGCAGTAAGAGCCGAGACAGACGACGGGGAGGCACGAGGGTCAGTCACAAGAGAGGCGAGAACACGTGAGACAATAGGACGAGCAGCACGGTAGTAGTCAGTGATCGGATGAGAGGAGACAGTGAGAGACGACGCAGGAGGTGGCGGTAGAACAGATATAGGCAGAGCACGACGAGGACTAGAACGAAACAAGACAGTGCGGAGGTCGTTGAAAGTAGGCGAGGGACGCACGCGGAGGACAACGAGTGGTCCAGTCTTGCGGGAGAACAGGAGGAGGCGACTGTGACTGAAAAGGAGAGAAAACAGCCGGAGCCGAGCCCGGAGGAGGAAACGTGGGGCCGTACGCGGTAGGAGATTGTGAGTGGACAGGAGGAGCGGAGGCTGCTCCGCAGGAGGTGGCGAGTTGACAGGAAGTACTCGCTGGAGGTACTCGCTGGGCTGCGTGGAGTACCTCCAAGGGCCCTTGGAGTCCACAGGAAGCTATCGCGGAAGTGCCGAAGGCTGAGGGGACTGTGAGGAGGAATGCGGGGAGGGAGACGCTACCTGACATGAGACCGAGGGTAGAGGGGTGGCGTGAGACACACCAGACGGGGCAGGACCAGGGGGGCCGGGGGTACCGGTTGAACGGGAGCAGGAGGACATGAGGGTGCGAGGAAAAGGGGAGGAGGGGGAACCAGGAGACCTTGACAGGGGTAGCGAGCGTAGTAGAACACTGACTCGTCAAACCGGACGTCACGGGAGTCTAGGAACTGGTGGAGGGGCGGGTGGTAAAAGGCGTAGTCGAGAGAGTCCACCGGGAAACCAAGGAAGACACAGGGGATGGTGCGAGCCGAGAGCTTCTCCACAGAAGTGTCACGGGCAAGTGCAAGGCAGCCCCAGACACGAAAGGCCGACCCAACACCAGGGGACCCGGTCCAAAGACTGGTCGGTGAAGCCTCTAGTCGTGAGACACGCGGCTGGAGGTTCAGCTGGTGGGCGGCATAGCGAACCGCATAGGGCCTTAATAAATGGGGCGCACGGGCATGAATCATGGACGTGCGGGCGATGTCCATGACCAAGCCAATGCGGCGCTCAGCAACCCCATTCTGCTGTGGGGACTGCGGAAGCGTCTAGGACTGTAAGATGCCCTGTTCACCGCAAAATTCGCAAAGAATGCTGGAGCGAAACTCGCCCCACGGTTGAAGTGGAGACAGGAGACACGAATGGCACGAGTGCCCTTAGTGGCTAGCAACCACCGGATCAGCATAGGAGTCACCTCGGACTTCTTCGGAGATGAATCACTGTGGTGTACATGGAGTAGTCGTTAACGACCACCAGAAAGTAGCGCTCCCTCTCAGGTCCCTGCATAGAGGCAGGGCCCCAGACGTCCAAGTGGAGTGTCTGGAAGGGAGCAGTGGCCGACCTCTGCTACCTGGTGGGACGCAGTGTGCAGAACGAAGAGACCTGAGTGGGGCTCCCTGGTGAACGTGGCAAGAAGTGCCCCGGTGGAAGCATCTGTACAGATCGCCGTCCTCTCGTGCGCAGGAAAAGTGAATGTGATCCCACGGTCCTGAAGGTATCCAATTCCCACCAAGTTCCGAGAGAACGAGGGGATGTAGAGATCAGTGAGGAAACCAGAAGGGACAGCGGGGCACGAGAGAGTGGTCGAGCTGCGAGCGACTGCTGGTCCTGAAGTAGGATCAGCCAGAGCAATTGGGACTGGAGCCGAAAGAAGTGTGACAATGGTGTGGTCGCGAAAGAAGCACTGAGACGCAAGTTCAGCGTGAAGGAGAGCGACGTGACAGCAGTCGTCACGGCTGGACTAGTGACTTTACAAGCACCTACAGTAAAAGCACAAGTACCTACATTAGCATCAGGCGAAGGTCTTAAGCTAGGTACACTCAAGCCAAGAGATCCATACGTGACTGAATAAACATCATCCATAGACATATCAAACACATGTTAACCACTACGAGACAAACCGGGCCGGATCGGTGGCCTCGACTCAGACCCAAAACGCTCACGGTATAGGTCGTTGAGGCAGCTGTAGTAGCGCTGTGCAGAGTGGTCAGGACGCGTGCCGGTATTGCCAGTGTCAGGGCTAGTCAAGATCCGAAACTGGCAGGGGCCGACCTCGCGACCACCGCGACGAGCCCCCCAGCTGGTTGGGCCCCTGCTACAGCCAACACTACTCGAACCACGAGGCTCCCACGGCTGCTGAGGGCGTCACTACTACTGAGGGCGCCACTACTGCTGAGGGTGCCTCTAATGCTGAGGGCGCCACTGCTGCTGAGGTTCCCACTGCTGAAATTGCCACTGCTGCTGTCAATGCTGCTGGAGAACTCTAGTTGGATGCCATGGTAAAGGCTAGCGGGGTGCAGAAGCGGCAGGCTAAGAGCGACTGGAGCTAAGAGCGAGGAGTGAGAACAGCTACGGGCGCCAGGTGAAACTAGGCGAGGGATGGCCAGGGCATGGAGCAAACTGAGCTGGGAGCGAGGAGTGAGAACAGCTAGTAGTGCCGGGTCAAACTAGGCGAGGAACTGCCGAAGCACGGAGCAAACTGAGCTAGAAGCGACTGGAACGAGGAACGGCTAGAGTAAGGCACGGCCGGAGCGAGAAACTTCAGGCTAGAAACCACGGGCTCGAAAAGCGGATGGAGCAAGGAGCGAGAACAGCTAGGAGCACCAGTTGAAACTAGGCGAGGAACGGCCGGAGCACGGAGCAAACTGAGCTGGAAGCGAGGAGCGAGAGCAGCTAGGAGCGCCAGGTGAAACTAGGCAAGAAAGGGCCGGAGCACGGAGCAAAGAAAGCTAGAGACATCTGGAGCATGAACGGCTGGAGTGAGACACAGCCGGAGCTAGAAACAGCAGGCTAGAAACAACGGGCTCGAGGAGCTGCTGGAGCGAGGAGCGAGAACAGCTAGGAGCGCCAGGTGAAACTAGGCGAGGAACGGCCGGAGCACGGAGCAAGAACAATTGGGAGCGCCAGGTGAAACTAGGACTAGGAGTAGCGGCCTCCAGCCGCGGCGAAACGGTGAACCCAGTGAAGGAACGGTAGGGGACGGGAAAACCGACGGTGAGAAAGCCGAAGAACGGCCTGCTACGGGCCGTGGCACGCTAGAGGTGCCAGCCGCCGCAAGAGGTGCCAGTGGGCGGCTAGAAGGAGGTGGGGGCGGCTAGGAGGAGGTGTGGGCGGCTAGAAGGAGGTGTGGGCGGCAAGGAGGAGGTGTGGGGGGCTAGGAGAAGTTGTGGGCGGCTAGGAAGGTACGTGAGGCGCGTTCCTGGCTGGGGTGCGCGTTCCTAAGCAGGGGCGCGCGCTGCTATGCCCGGGTGGCGCCGGCTGATCTGCTAGGGCGCGCGTTGCGCTGCACGTTGGTGCGCGCTGCAGGGGCGCGCGTTGCTCTGCACAGGCGAGGCGACAGGCTGGGGCAAGGCGCATGGGCGACGCGACGGGTTGGGGCAGGGCGCACGGGCGACGCGACGGGCTGGGGCAGGGCGCACGGGCGACGCGACGGGCTGGGGCAGGGCGCACGGACTACGCGATGGGCTGGGGCAGGGCACACGGGCGACACGACGGGCTGGGGCAGGGCGCACGGGCAACGCGAGCTAGGCTAGGCGAGGCAAGGGAACGAACCCACGGAGCGATCGAGCGACTACGAAGCGTCGGAGCAGCCTTAGGCTATGCTAGGTTGGTAGCGTACCTACTCACGATACCATCCCAGAAGAAGACGGAATGTTTGAATTGGGGTTGAGAAGCAATACAAGTAGCAAACCTAACTGAGCTGTACTCTCTAGGGAGTGCCACACTATAGCCTACAACAATAATATGTATTTGACAGCATAATACAATTATAACATTCGGTAACAGTTTGTTTTCCCACGCATCGCATCTCGAATATTTCTTGCTGCAACAGTCCTCGCTAACATCTGTTGCTTGGTCTCCGTTCTCGCTTCAAATGCTTCCGAGACAAGACTTTGTTACTTTGGATATGTTTATGCAACAATATGTTTATAAGTTATATCGTAAAAGAATAGAGACAACAAAAACATATGCCTCCCGAAGCGGAAGTTTTGAATAATATAATAATTTTATAATATGTAGCCGTGAAAGATGTAGCCGTGGATAACTGGGAGAGATGCTTATGAGAGCTTTGAACTAAACTTGTGTGCCAATAATATCGTAGAAGAACATATAATTTATTGTTCATTCATGCTACTGTAGATTTGTTCTGCTCAGTTGTAGTTCATTCAACCTGAGGTCCGTTTGCTATCAGCCCTGACAATACTCGTTTGAAGGCACTTCTGACCCCTTCAAATTCTCCTTTCACCTGCACCCTCCTCCCGCCCATTTTCTGTGGCGACGCTGGTCATGCAGCAGACGCGCACTGTGCCTGACAACAGTCCCGCGCTTTTTCGAATCTCCCCTTGTTGAGGTGTCACTTCAACGCTGCCATAAGTCCACCTTCTGGTTAGGCATTGTCAACTCAGTTTCCGAGCTTAGCCCTGTTAGTTCCTGCAACGCTAGACTTCACAGCCTCCTACCCGAGTTCCTGAACCAGGCTCTGTACCTCTCCTATTCGTGTCATTTTTTTGCCATGGAGGACTACGAAAAGCTCGAGAAAGTAGGCGAAGGTACCTATGGCAAGGTATACAAAGCGAAATGCAAGAAGACAGGCAAGACGGTAGCTTTGAAGAAGACTCGTTTGGAGATGGAGGAAGAGGGAGTTCCTTCGACAACCCTTCGTGAAGTTTCTCTTTTGCAAATGCTTTCCAAGAGCGTGCATGTCGTGCGGTAAGAACACAGCCAGACTCGTCAGAACCCTTCCCTTCGCGTCTAGTTGTGGCATTTATCTCATCGCAATATTCGTTTCGTTTCTCAGATTACTGAACGTCGAGCACATCACCGAGTACAACAAGCCCATGCTTTACCTGGTCTTCGAGTACCTGGATACCGATCTCAAGAAGTACATGGATGCGATAGGCAAGGGCCCAAGCCACCCGTTGGACCCCAAGATTGTGAAGGTGTGTAAATTGACTGACATTGCCTCCTCAGGGTGCATGAAACGTGTCTTCGTTGACGGTTACTGACATTTTCATTGACTTGATTGCAGAACTTCATGTATCAACTCCTCATAGGAGTTGCTCACTGCCATAGCCATGGAGTTATGCACAGGTGAAAATCCAGCGCTGCTCGCGTATTCCCGTGTCATCCCTATGAAAATAAAACAAACTAACAACCCTTTTTGTGCATGCAGAGACCTTAAGCCGCAGAACCTTCTTGTCGACAAAGATCGGGGCTTGGTGAAAATCGCTGATCTTGGATTGGGCCGCGCATTCACTGTTCCTATCAAGAGCTACACACACGAGGTAACGACATTGACGTACTTATGATATAACATGTGTCAGAGGCACCGATATCGTACTGATTTATCGCTGCTTATTGCAGATTGTAACTCTGTGGTATCGAGCTCCGGAAGTACTCCTTGGCGCAACCCACTATTCCACGCCCGTGGATATGTGGTCGGTTGGCTGCATATTTGGTACGTTATGTTTATTATCAACCCGTCATAACGGATGCTCATCTTCCGAGTCTAATAATTCCTTTGCAATGGTTTCAGCGGAGATGGCACACAAGGTGCCGCTCTTCCCTGGCGATTCAGAGTTGCAGCAGCTGCTTCACATCTTCAAGTGAGTGAGACATTCTCTTGCCTAGTCTCGCGATCGTTCGGCATGATTTACTGACCAGCGTTACTTCGTACCTGATTTTACAGGATGCTTGGAACTCCCAACGACAAAATCTGGCCTGGTGTTTCGAATCACCGCGACTGGCATGAGTTCCCCCAGTGGAGTGCCCAGAACCTTGCTCGGTTTGTGCCAGAGTTGGACGAGAACGGTGTTGATCTATTGAAGGTGAGTTGTTTGACTGAGCAATTTGAGAAGGGATTTAAATTCCAGTTACTTATCAATTCTGTGTTATGCTGCAGCAATGCTTGGAGTATGATCCCGCCAAGAGGATCACTGCGAAGGATGCCCTTCAGCATCCTTATTTCGACGACTTCGACAAATCGCAGTTTGATGCTCTCTTCTGAGTGCGGCGCCACATCTAGTGGCCCACGTCGATTCCAAACGTCACCTCTTCTGTTCTTAGTATCACGTCACTACCTTGTGTATATCACCATGATGGGGGACAGGCTGTTATTGTTCACTTTCAATTATTGTTGAACCTACGTGATAACACTGCTGATTACCATAGTTCAAAACTCGGCCTAAGCAGTTACATGTTAGTCTGCCACAACCGAGCACGAAGTTAAATGCCAACCTAGTCTCTTCCTCTGACCGCGTCATTTGGATCTGTGCCACACAATTGTCATCGCAAGCTCACATTGCTTCATGCGCTGTCGAGAGCCCTAGAACTCCTGGAGCGAGAAAATGAAACATGCAACGCTCTGAATGAACTCCCTGATTGCGGTACACGAGGATCTCAAGCAGAAATAGATAAACAATAACTCATAACATGTGAATGTAGGATGCGACTACAGGAAACTTGGTTGGACAAGGGAAGACCAAAGCGCAGTGGGCGCAGTGGGATGTGATGTTCGGCGAGCCAGGATTGGGTTAGGGGTACACCTACCAGCAGCGACAAAAATTCGCCTGCGAGATTTGCAAGGGCATTGCAAGAAGTGTTGGGTGTGACAAGTCGCACATCCATTTGGTTGCGATGTCGTGGGTCGACAGAGATCAATCGTGCATGTCACCATGGGCGCGAAGTTCAGGGCCCTGTTCTGTTGCCGCACCACTTGGTCCGTACCCCTCCGCACTGCACCAGATTGATGCTTCTTCCGGGATTCCACCGGAGATCCTGCGAGCTTCATTTATGAGGGCGTATTCCTTGATTCTAGGCTCGGGAAACTGAACCTCTTCCCGGACCTAGCGAGTGCAGTGCAGTCCGTCCGCCCAAAAGAACGGTGAACCACTGACGCACTCGTAATCCCCCACTCCCAGGCAAAATGGGTGCGGGACTGGTGCGGGCCTGGTTCAGGTTCAGAGGGAGATCAAGGCACCGCATCAAGTGGTGCGGCAGGATGCTGCGTTGCACCAACCGGGTCTGTTGTTTCGCGGAAGTTCCTGATGGTGGGCCATGTGATGCGGTGCTGTCCTGCCCGCCCCCGCATCAAGTGGTGCGGCAACAGAACAGGGCCCAGGTCGTGCCCCCCAACCTCGCGATCGATATGGCGAGGCAACTTCGCCATATCGATCGTTTAAAGCGACGGTGCACATTTGCCACCCAAAACCCAGAACCCTGGCGAACTGTTACTGCGGATGGAAAGTGTCCGCACGAAATCCTGGTTTTCGCCAGCCAGCACTTTCGCGCTGGCAAGCCTGGTTCAAAAAAAAAATCTTCTGAACCCAACACTGCCAAAAGTTGCCCGTCGCTTTAAGGGCGTGGAACATCCTTTTGAACAAGGCGATGGTCGCCCAACAGCGACAGTAATCATTGTTGCGACCATCGCCATTGACCTACGAAGCAGACTGACGAAGACTGCCCGAAGAACGCACGTTCCACAGCTTATGCTTGTTGGTCGCCCCACCTGTTGAACCTCGCTGATAAGACAAGAAGTGGCGACGTCAGGAAAAATATGCGAAATGAAACCAGGTGTTGTCGTGAGTGACGTGCTGCGACCCAATTTGCAGCACGGTTTTTGACGAAGCAGGCGCTTTCGTGTATCATCGCGACTCCGTATTTCTGGGCGACCAAGTGTTTCCAACTTGGGATATGGGGTTTTGCGTGTTACCTGACGAAAACCATTGACGAGACAAATGTTCGACCAGAGAGCCGACGGGACACTTGTTCACAAGGATGTTCCACGCTCTCAAGAGTGGATGACAAGATCGCGGGAGCAGATATGTGCCCTCGCCAGCTTCTACGAAATGTGGTAACCTTGCTGATTATGACGCTTCAGTGCTACATTGGTATTTCCATACCGATCTACCAGCGGATCGATCCGTTTCAAGGGACGCCTCCTTAGCCAGTTCTGCGCTTCACTGTTGTTTATGGACTATCGGTTGCAGTGGCTGTCAGAGACTGCAGGCACGGACCAATGTTCCAGGCAAAAAGGTCCGTCACTGCGATTTTGGCCAATTGCGAGAGGGAAACAGAAGAGGAGCGAGTATCACCAACGAAGATGGTGACGATCACTGGACTAAAGTACCGTTGTGGGCCGAGCGGAGATTACACTAATACGGCCACACGGCCTAAAAAGATGACGAGCCCTGAAATGGGCAGAGTCAGGCCGCATTCCGGGCTCGTAACGGGCTGTTACGAACAGCTTTTGCAGTCGCACTCCAAGAATGTTGGAGGCCCCCAAATCCCCAAAAGAGGGCTAGAGGTGGGAATCGTGAGGGGTCGTGCGGTGTCGGTGGGAGTCGTTTAGACGATCGCCTGTTACGAGGTTGGCTGTTCGTAACAACCGGGAATACTATCTCATAATCGTCGCAGTCCGTCATGCAGTGTGGGTCCGAATATCCACCCGGATCTGCAAAGTGCCGGGTCGGACTCGGACGGACACCTTCTGTTTGGCCACTCAGTTTCCGATCATGCCTGCAAACACACGTCTTTATAGCCTCCTAGCAGAGTTATAGAACCAGGCTCGGTATGTCTCGTTTTCGGGACTATTTTTGCCATGGAGGACTACGAAAAGCTTGAGAAAGTAGGCGAAGGCACCTATGGGAAGGTCTACAAAGCGAGATGCAAGAAGACTGGCAAGACAGTAGCGCTAAAGAAGACCCTTCCGGATATGGGGCAAGGGGGGGTTCCACAGACAACCATTCGTGAAGTTTCTCTTTTGAAGATGCTTTCAAAGAGCGTGCATGTCGTACGGTAAGAACACAGGCAGTCCCGCCATTCCAGGGCCCTCCGCGTAGCATTCAGTCTTGGGTTTTATCTCATCCTAATTTTTCCTCTCGTCTCTCAGTTTACTCGACGTTGAGCACATTATCGAGCACAACACGACCACGGTTTACCTGGTCTTCGAATACCTGGACTTTGATCTTAAGAAGTACATGGATGCGCGTGGCAAGGGCCCAAGCCACCCGCTGGAACCTAAAATTGTCAAGGTGTGTAATCGAGTTGTCGTTGCCTCCTCAGGGCGCATGAAACGTGTCTTCATGTTACTGACTGTTTCATTGACTTGATTACAGAATTTCATGTATCAACTCCTCAAAGGGGTTGCCCACTGCCATAGCAACGGAGTTATGCACAGGTGAGGATTCTGAGCGGCACGCTTCTTTTCGTTAACCCTTTCGATGAAAATCTTACAATAGCATTCGTACATGCAGAGACCTTAAGCCGCAGAACCTTCTTGTCGACAAAGATCGGGGCTTGGTGAAAATAGCCGATCTTGGGGCGGGCCGTGCATTCACGGTTCCTATCAAGAGCTATACACATGAGGTAGTGACTTCGACAAACTTACGCTGTGATAACAAGACTCAGAAGTCTGATATCGCACTAATCCATCGCTGCTGATTGCAGATTGTAACTCTGTGGTATCGAGCTCCGGAGGTACTTCTTGGCGCAACCCACTATTCAACGCCCGTGGATATGTGGTCGGTTGGATGCATTTTTGGTACGTAGTGTTTGTTATCGACCCTTTTCAGTTGATGCTCATCATTCCACACTAATCATTCCTTCACGATGGTTTCAGCGGAGATGGCACATAACCTGCCCCTCTTCCGAGGCAACTCAGAGTTACAGCAGCTGCTTCAAATCTTCCAGTGAGTGACCATTTTTCTTGCATAATCACACATAGTTAGGTATGATCGACTGACTAACCTTACTGTACTTGACTGTATAGCGTGCTTGGAACTCCCGACGACAACATCTGGCCTGGTGTTTCGAATCACCACGACTGGTACAAGTTCCCCCAGTGGAGTGCCCAGAACCTTGCTCAGTTTGTGCCAGAGTTGGACAAAAACGGTGTTGATCTATTGAAGGTGAGTTGTGTGCTTGAGCAATTTGAGGAGGGGGTTGGTCTTTCTTAATGATTCTGTGTTATGCTGCAGCAATGCTTGGAGTATGATCCCGCCAAAAGGATTGATGCGAAGGATGCCCTTCAGCATCCTTATTTCAACGACTTGGACAAATCTCAGTTTGATTAGTTCTTATGAATGCGTCACATCTAGCGGCGCACGTGCATGTCAGGATAAAGACTGCCGCTCTTGTGTGTGTCACCATGGTGGGGCTGATCATTTTGTTTTTTAGCAACAGGATCCATCCATGGCAAGCAGGGGGTCGAGAGGAGGGGCGAGAGAAGCAGGTTGGCTTGGGGAGGGGTGGGGTGAGAGTAGCACCAGAAGGGAGAAACGGGGTGGACTTGAGGAAGGCCCTCTCAAGATCTTTTGGAGGCTATGATTCATGTAACATCGAAAGTAATGGAATCCCTTGTCAAAGTGTGTATGTGCTGTTTCTATGAGCGTGTTCCTATCCTCGTATCAAGAACAACCTCATATCAGCTCACACTGGAAATTCCCCTAAACCCAAAACCTCTCGCTAGTTTTACCAGGCAAAAAGTACATTCTCGATACGAGGTTTCCTGATATGAGGCCGTAGGAACACGCTCTATTACACTTGGTAGGCTAGGTGGGGGTTAGGTACCGTACCAGTTTTTGTACCCATGCTTTGTCGAGAAACGCTAGCAGAAAGTTAGAAATAGAAAGAGGGGTTGCACTAGCAGCAGATAGGATACATATAGCATACCCTAATTAGGGTTGTATTCACTATAGAGTACCCCACTGCAGACTAGACAATTACCGTATACTCCCGGACAAAACACCCCCATTGTACACCCCCGGGTAGCTTGTGCGGGGTGGGTGTTATGGGGAGCCTCGTTTCTACTATACCCCCCTTTTTGCCTGATTCTCTATAAGACCCGGGGGGGTATTATGGGCGGCAAAAATACTGAATTTGCTTACATTGCATACAGGGTACTTTACAGGTACTACAGAAGTAATGTGCCAGCACATAGTCATCGACAATGTCACCTAGACTGCAGAAACATCACCACAAGAGCACCTCACATCCACAATTTCACCTAAAAAAACCCTATACAAAGTGCCTTCTACTCAGAATCGTCTCCTGCATGCCATTCTTCACAGTCTTCCCCGTCAAAGCGGCCAGGGCGCCACCATTCGTCATCGCTGGGCTCTTCTGCCTCCCCGCCTTCCTCAAGCACGCCCCCCTCCTCCTCTGTCGCCGCCGCTTCCGCGTCCTCCTCAGCGGCGTCAGCCTCCTCTGCCGCCGCCTGCAGCTCCTCGGCCGGCATGGGGACTTCGGCGTAGAAGGGGTTGACGACGAGCTCGTCGTCAACCAGGTCGTTGACGTCGTCAAGGACTTCCACCTCACCCTTGTCCCGCATGTGGGCAAGGATGAGGTGGTCCTCGCTGCCATCGATGGGGGTGGAGATCCCACACGTGACGAACGCCTTCTTCACGAGCTCCTGTGGGATTGCTTCCCAGGACTCATCGATCCAGCGGAGCACCAGCTCCGCTGGCGGCTTCTTGAGATTGCCTGAGGGACGGGGAAGGGTAGAGAAGGACAAATGTGAATTTCCAGAGCGTAAGCCGACATTGATTCAAAGTTACACATGCGGATGTCATGGTTCAACTCACCGGACTTGGTGGTGGTGTTGATGCCCTCTTCTTCGAACCAGCCACTGTAGCGATGACGCACACCGCACTTGAACGCGCGGTTGATTGACACATCCAGAGGCTGCACTAGCGGAGTGCAGCCCCCTGGGATGACAGCCCGTGACAGCCGAAACATCCTCATGGTCTGCCCGACCGCCTCAGTCAAGTGGCCGCGGTAGGAGTCGAGCACAACCAAGGCCTCCCTGCGGCGTCCAGTTGATTCACGCAAGGGCTTCAGAAACGGCACCATCACCTGGGTGATCCAGTCCTGCACAAGTGATTCGTCCATCCACCCTTTGTCTTGTGCACGGACCACCACACCTGCCAAAGAATACCGGTACGTTAGGGTCAAATTCGGTTGCGACTGTTGACAGGCTAGAGTAGTGACATCATCCTAAACGTGCTATGCTTACCGGCAGGGATGGGCACCTTCGGTATGGACTTGCGCTTGAACACCACGTACGGCGGCAGCTTGAGCCCGCTCGCAGTTACTGCCAGCATGACAGTAACACGCTCCTTCTCATAGCCCGCACTCCGTACGTGAACCGTCCGCGCTCCCTTCATTTCGAGCGTGCGCTCCGCCGGCATCTCCAGGAAAAGCGGGGTTTGGTCCGCGTTCAAGATGAGGTCAAGCGGGTAGTCGTGCAGAGAGCGCATCTGGCGCACAAACTCCCAAAAGGAGTCCACCTTGGCCTTGCAATCTGCAAGCAAAGCCACGAGACACATTAGCTCAGCACTGAGATGGCAATCAAGGAGCACGACGGCGCAACACTTACCCGCTGCCAACTTCTGTCCCATCTTCGTCTTCACCCGCCTCGCCAGATGCCAGCGCGCGCGGAAACGAGTCGTCCAGCGGAACGATGCGCGCCAGTTGACCCCGGGCATCCGGTGCTTCATGTACTTGGCGCTCCACTTCTGGAGCATGCTGACTGAAACGGCGAGCCCCCTCCCCCTGTGCTTGAGGAACTGGCGGTAGACCGCCCTTTCCATGAAAGGGAACTTGGACTTGCGGCCAGCTCCCATGAGGCGACGACGGCAGCTGGAAGAGACCTCCAGCCGCTCCCTCATCTTCTTCCAATCGCGGATCTGGCATGGCTGCACCTTCGCGAGCTTCGCCAGGGCGCGATTCGACAGGTCGGGCTGCGAGTCCTGCATCTTCAACCAGTGGAGCTTCTCCTTCGCGGTGATTCCCTTGCGCTGGCGTTTCGTCATGCGATGGCGAGGGGATGGCGGGTCAGCATCGGCGTTGCGCTTCTGCTGTCCCTGCGGGCGGTTCCGCTCCGGGAACGTGGGGACAACCACTCGAGGAAGGGTAGGGCGAGGACGGTCCAAGCTACTGCTCGGTTCATCCCTGGTAGAAGCACTACCGGGAGCATCTGGCTGAGGAAAGATCGGGCGAGGAGACGTCCGTGCGCGTGCAGAAGCGCTAGTCTGATTGGTGGAAACAGGCCGCTGCCGCCTATCTACCGTACTGCTAGAATCTGGAGATGAAGCCATGCTTGGGAACTAAGGCAGGTCGATGTCACTTGCCATGGGAGAAATGACTTTTAAAGACGATACCCTCGTGCACAGGAAGGAGATGCTCTCACAGCCTGCCGAGCACTTGTCAAAGACGTGCACTGGAACTGCTTGACGAAGAGAAGAGCAAGCTTGGGTGAGGAAGCTTGGACGTGACTACCGTACACGGGAGTCAAGGGGTCACAGGTACAGTGACAACACAGCACCGTGCGCGATTCCGGCCTCGTACTGCATGAACCCAAGCTGCTCGAGGTTGGCACTGATGTCAACCAATCAGGTGGCACAGTGGGCCCACTGGAATTTGCCATGTGGCAGATTCCAGTGGAGGCCGACGTTATCCTTGTAGACGCGGTTTGGCGGCCCTGATCAAAAAGATAATAATAAGGCCAGACCCCTGTTTTTGTTTCCATTCATTTCTGCTTATAAAAAAATGTGGAATATAATAAGACCCGGGTATTATGTATTTTTTTCCTATGAGGAGACCCCCCCCATTTTTTCCCTGTATTTTTAGCTATACCCTAGGGTGTTATGTCCGGGAGAATACGGTATAGCATTCTAACACACCCCCATAGGCAAAGTGGGGTACCGTCATCGCCCGGATAGTAGATAGTGTTGAATAATAGACAGGGGTTGTCTATTATCTGGGTGTCTCTTATAAACAGGCTAGCCTCATTATAAGACACCTATTTGTGTGTACGAGATAAGACATATGTGTCTTATAGTCGAAACTACAATATAGTATAGTGAAACTTGAAATACCGCGTACGTTTCTACCATCGCGATGCGCGAATTCTTCCACGTGCTGACTCAAGTACTGCCAAATTTGCCTCTGCAATTATTTTCCATGACGTGGCTTCCCGAACAATGGTTGCCGTGTTAGAGTAGGTTGATGACTATCGAGAAAGTTTTGGGTACAAGGATGAGAACCCTAAGGGGTTGTACCCTACATTAGCTACCCCACTATAGCCTAACCAGATACAATATGCATATAATTGACACACCCCTATAGGCAAAGTGGGGGAGAACAAGGAGTCACAAGACCAGTCAAGAGAAGCAAAGTAAGCTCTGGGTGGATCACAACGACACCACACGCACTGAGCACAAGCAAAGGGCCACAAGGCCAGTTCACATGCAGAGATATATATGAAACAACGGCAGCACAGTGATCTCTACCTAGCAGAGCAAGCATGCAGGTATGTATATATATAGATCACAGTACAGGCAAAGTCTACAGCAAGTGAGGAAACGTGGGCACAAGGCCTAACAAAGTACAAAAACGCTGATGATCACCAGACGGAAGTGCCTTGGTGAATATATCAGCAGTGTTGGCCCGAGTGGCCACGTAAGCTGACCACGCTGCTGCAACTCTCGAGCAAGGAAGTAACGCAGAGCCATGCGCTTCGTTCTGTGCTCCAGTCTGTGCTCCTGACACAAGGCAATGGCGGCCTTGTTGTCAACGTACAGCACTGGAGGAGAACGAGGCCACTATCCCAAGTCGGTCAGCAGGTAGGTGAGCCAGCGTAGCTCCTGTGCAGCCATGGCAGTGGCGTAGATCTCAGCCTCACAACTGGAGCCGAGAACTGAAGACGAGCGTGTAGACCGCCAGGAAACTGAACCGGAGCAAGGCTGAAGGTGTAACCCTGTGACGACCGCTGCGTAGCTAGGTCGTCAACCCAAGAAGCGTCCGAGTGCCCAGTGAGGACAACTGGGCTCCGCCCTCCAAGCACGAGCCCCATGCCCGATGTACTGCACAAGTAGCGCAGTACCCTCTTAGCAGCATCCATGTGCACCTTTCGGTGCCTACCAGGAGCCACGTAGCGAGCCAGAAGACCAAGAGGGTACGCAAGGTCAGGTCGAGTGCAGGTCATCAGGTACATGAGGCAGCCCACTAGCTCTGGGTACGGACCACTCGGCTCTACGGACTCGTCCGAAGGTGGAGCTGAGAGCGAGTGGCCTGTAGCCATAGGAGTGGGCTGTGGCGAGGACCAGGTGAAGCCGAAGCGCTGAAGGACCTGGTGCACCATGTGTGACTGAGTCAGTGTGATGGTGCGGCGTGCTCTGTCCCGGGTGATCTACAAGCCAAGGTAACTGCGCAGCTCACCCAGGTCTGTACACGTGTGTCTCTTCTGCAGCTCCGACTTCACCAGGGCGAGAGCCTCAGTGTCAGCAGTGGCAAAGACCAAGTCGTCGACGTACACAAGGATGTAGAACGGCGGCAGCGAAGTGTCGTTGCGCAGAAACAGCGACGGGTCAGCAGTAGAAGGCGCGAACCCAAGAGCCGCAAGTGTAGTCCTCAGTGTGTCGTGCCACTCACGTGGCGCCTGGCGGAGACCGTAGACTGGCCGCCGAAGGCTCCACTGGGTACGAGGGAACGACCCAGTAAAGCCAGGAGGGCGGCAGAGCCAGATCTCCTTGTGCAGGCTGCCCTGTAAGAAAGCTGTGCTGAAGTCAAGAGAGTGAAGCTCGTAGTCACGCTGAGCGGCAACGTGCAGCAGCACCCGAAGAGTGGTCATCTTCGGGGTGGGGGAGAAGGTCTGGAAGAAGTCAACTCCCTCTCGCTGACTGAAACCTCGAGCAACGTAACGAGCCTTGAAGAAAGGCGGAGAACCTGGCGACCGCTTCACCCTGAAAATCCACATGCCACTGACGATGTTCGCCCCAGGAGGGGGAACCTCGTCGACGTAGGTGCCTGTGGACTTCCAGGATGCCATCTTTGCGTCCGTGGCTGTCTGCCACTGAGTGGAGTACTCACCCGCGATCGCCTCAGCGTAAGAGCGCGGGGTCGGGATGTCTGGAGCATCCGGGTCTCCCTCAGGGGCAAGCAGCATGGACACGAGATGAGGCGCAGCGGCTGCAAAATACTCAAGGTCCTCCTGCCTTTCCTCGAGGACGTCCGTGCCAAGAGCACACTCACCCCCAACGGACGGAGGACAGACAGACTCAGACTCAGCAACAAGACTAGCGGCGTAGTCTAGACGACAGGCAGCAGCAAAGTCAACAAGCTCAGCGACTAAGGCAGACGCAGCAGCAGACTGAAACGACGGGTCAGTGACAACTGTAGCTAGCAGACGCGTGACAGTAGGGTGAGCAGCACGGGCGCGGCCAGACTCAGGCTCTG